TTCTTTCTATCTTTCTATCTATCCCATCTGTCTGTCTCTGTGTTACATCCCTTGGAGGATAGAGAAGAGACGGGTCAGCAGACACACAAGTGCAGGGCAAGCCGATTGCCTGGAGGTCTCATGACATCCTGGAGACTCTGGGTCTCCAAGGGCTTCAGAGGGGTTGGGACAGCCTGGAGGGTTGTGCACAGGCAGAGTCCCTAGAGCCTCTGGTGAGAAGCACTCAGGGAGCACAAGGACACCACTTCCACGCCTTCAGCTGGAGCTGTGGATCTGTGGTTGGGGAGACCACACCCCTGAGACAAGGGGCCATGGGGATCCCCACGTACCTCCACACCCACAGGAGAGAATCACGTAAAATCATGGAGTAAAAACTGTAGGAAGCAACAGCAGAAACAGCCACAAAGAGGAAGGATTGGATGAGCTGGGGATATAGCCCAGTGGCACAAGCACCTGCCTGGCAAGCACAAGGTCCTGAGTTTGGTTCCTGGTTTAAAAAAAAAAAAGTACAAAGAGAAACTATTGGAAATGACAAAGATAGGGGGTGTTACTCCGTTAACAGAGTAAGAGAAGGCTCAGAACATCTGAGCAGAGAACAAGAAACCAAGCCAAGCATATGTGAAAAAGAAAAGGAAAGATACAATTGGAATAACTGGAACAGACACTCCAGAAGGAAATAATGAATATAATTTTTCCAAATCGTTGAAAGACATTGATCCTCAGATTAAGAATCCCACCACCAAAAAAAAAAAAAAAAAAAAAAAAAAAAAAAAAAAAGAGTGACTGTCTCCATTTTAGAGCTGGGGAGATGGCTCAGTAGAATAAGCACTTGACTGGCAAATGCAAGGATCAGAGTTCAATTCCTGGTTCCACCAAAAAAGAAAAAAAAAAAAAAAAGAGTGATTGTCAGATTAAGAATCCCAACCCCAAGCTATGTTGAGATGCACAGGTATAGAAATAGAAATAAAACAAGTGGCTGCTGCTGCCTGTAGGAGGAGACCATGTCGCCTTCAGAGCAACGGCAGTGGAGCAGAGAGCAGGAAAACTGGCAAGGGCGGAGGCCACGGAGCAGGCGGTTCCCCGGAAATCCCGAGCAAATAGCTCAGCCAGGCATCTCACGCCAGGGGAGGTGCTGGCCGGACAGCGCCGCAGGACAGGTTCTGGAGGACGGGCTCGAGGTGCAGGAAACCAGCGCTGGGTCTGGGTGGCTCTGTGGGGAGCAGGACCCCAGGAGGCAGCGAAGGTCTGAACCAAGTGATGATTCCCAAGGGGTGAGCACAGCTCAGGGTGGGTGCAAAACACCACGCACAGCAGCGCGGGGGGAGAGGAGGACCTTCTCACTGCCCCTGAGACTGTCAGTGGACAGCGCTACGTGGGGCACTAGGAGAAGAGACCCAGCGTAGGCTTCGAAGGAAGGAGAGGGGAAACAGTCTAAATGAAAGAAAAGAGGGAACAGCGGTGTGGGAGACGCAGGCGTCCCGGGCATCCGGGGGCTGGCTCGGAGCTCGCTGTAGGGCACGTGCTTGGCACGCACGTAGCTCAGGGCTCAGTTCCCAGCGAATAAATACACAGCTAATTACAATAAGTGTAAGTGGATTAAATTCTCCAGTGAAGACCTCAATTGGTATATTTCAAGAAAGAAAACAAAATTCAGCCTGGTATATACTCATTATCAGAGAAACACCTAAAACACACAGAAGGATTAAAAGCTAAATAATAGAAAAGCCCAGGAAAATGTCAACAGCAGACACAGCTCTGACTCTAGTAATACCAAGGAGTCGGCAAACAGCCTTACTTGAAACAAGATTTGCTACTTAGTAATGAAACGTTCCCTTCACTGGAAAAGGTATCAGCTCTCAGCTTGCTAGAGTGTTTGTGTATAGCCACACCCTAAGAGGACCCAGATCCCCGGGGTTCACGGAAACGTGGAAACCATTGTCACACAGGCGTGGCACACGTGAACACATTTCTTGGTAATTTCTAGATAAGACGGACTCACTTAAAAAATCCTCAGTGAAGAGTAAAAGCTGCCCGCAGTGAGACCGCGGAGCTCCAAGGAGCCGACTTGGTGCCCCGGACACCTGGCGCAGACACGCGGGCGGCAGCGTCGTTGGGGGACAGCGCCGCGCCAAGCCGGGGATCTGCCCGACCGCGCTGCTTCCCACAGCAAGCTGAAACTGGAAAACACAGCCAGAGATTAACTAGGAAAAGTGCCCTGTGGAAGTTAAATGATCCCAATAACCAACGCGGAGGCCAAAGGAGAAATTACAAGATTTCACCATCTAATTTTTCATGTCAAATTCATGAGATACAATACTTGGAGCTTTGAGTGTTCACCTTCAAAAAACTAATTAGAAGGCTTGAAGGAGCTGGGATCCAATTAAACCACAGGAGACTCACAGAAGGAGAAAAAAGGAAATTACAGCAGCACATAAACACCCACTTGTTGCATTTCTAAGGCACAAGTGGGATGGAGACAGGGGCAGGGCCGCAGGCACGCAGAGAGTGAGGGCGGACTCTAGGCGCAGCTCTGGGATGCAGAGCCTGCTGCAGAGTGTGCGTGCGTGCGTGCGTGCGTGCGTGCGTGCGTGCGTGCGTGCGGGCGGGCTTGCTGGAAAGCAGCAGGCAGCAAAGCAGCCTGAAGGAAGCACAAAATCAGAGTCCCCCTTTACAGTGAAAAGCAGCCCACAGAAAGAGCGCTGCCCTCGGTGAGAGCCCCGGATGTGGATGTTCTGCTGCCGGATCCCAAGAATCCCGGAAGCGGATGCTTTCGCTGTGGGCGTTAGTCAGTCCAGGGCCGCTGGAGAAACCGCAGCTCCTATGCAGAGGTTGCAGTCACCCGGACCCGCCGCGGGACAGAGCTGGAATGCCAGCTTCAGGGCGGCAGCGCAGCCAGGCCCACCAGTGTGTGTGTGTGTGTGTGTGTGTGTGTGTTTGCGCGCGTGGCAGGGCATCGTGACCACAAGAGGACCGCTCCAGCCGTGGGCAGATGAATTCATGTAGCTCATTAATACTAGGATATTGATTTTAGAAATTCACGGAGTAGCATATTAGGAAGTTATCCTAGCAAATAAAACGTAGACTTCAAGGTCCAGATTTGACATAAGAATTTCTTAGCGTGTTTTAAAAGGGGGCTTGCATGGTGGCTTGCTGGCTGTCCCCTTGACTGGATGCTTGCAGGCCCAGCTGATTCCAGGGCGAGGGCAGTTGTCTCCGCACCTGGTACACGCACTCCAGCAGGGTGGGGGATCCCCCAAGCACGGTGACATCGCGTACAGGCCGGGGCCCAGTGGAGAGGCGGGCGGGGACAGGGAGGCTGGTTCCCCATCCAGCCTGGGCCCTTGTGCTGCAGTGGCCTGCTTCTGCTGCCGCCACCCGCGGACGTCAGACTCCTCGTCCTCGGGACCGGGTTCGCATAGTGGCCGCCGAGTGTCTCAGTCCTCCGCCTAGCACAGGGCTGCCCTGCCGGCTCCCTGCTGGGGCCCAGTCATGTGAATGGTTTCCCAGCTCTGCAGCAAGGGAACAGAATGGCGCCTCTTCGTGGCCCCATGAGCCAGGGTAATATGCAAATGCACGCATACTAATTAACACGCTTGCGGGTACCCACAAGCACACGTCATATGCCCACACACTTTTTTTTTTCTATTGGTTCTGTTCTCTGGAGAAATGTACAAAAATCATTCAGCAAGAACAGTTGCTGGAGGGAACAGTGAGGGCTCTCCGAGGCCTGGGGGGCAGCAGGGGTCCCCGTGCCTCCCTCTCGTCAGTGCCCTCCTGTCCAAGCTGCAGCTGCCTTCTGTCCTCTGCAAGGGTAGAAAACCATGTGGTGGCTCCTCCAACAGTGACATGCAGAATCTCGGGACCAACAACTGCCAAGAGGATGGAAGACAAGGGCACGAAGGGACGCTCAGGCCAGACGCACAGCAGCGCTGCTCCTGACGGTCAAAGGAGAAGACACCCATGAGTCCAGGCAAAACACGAGGCAGGGGGGCCCAGCCCTAGCTCAGTTCTTTAAGTGGCTGCTTCCACAATGCTGGCAGCCTCAGTTTGCTGTAGTTCGATCCCCACAACCCTCCAGCCATGCAAAAGTGCCCTGAAGGCATTCAAGGAGCAAAACACACACACACACAAAAAAAAAAAAAAAACCACGAGGCAGACATGTTGGGGAGTATTACTCTGCCCCAAAAGGGGAGAAACTGACTTGTGCTGCCACAGGATGTGCCCAACTGCACCACACACAGTGGAAGGAGTCACTCGCAGGAGGTCAGGCACTGAGGGTCCATGAGGAGAGGGGCCAGATCACAGAGCCGGGCTGGGATGGGGCAGTGCGGTGGGGAGCTGGGGCTCAGAGGGTGACGCTTTGGTCTCAGGTAACAGCTTCAGAGTTGGGCAGCGGTGGCTGCTGAGGTTGTGAGCATCGTTTACGCCCCTGAGCACACGTGTGGCTGCCAGCACTGCTGGTCCCCAGGGCCTGCTCCCCAGAGCCTGCAGCCCACCGAGCCCGGCTGTTCAATACGAGGCTCTGTGAGTGACATGGGTCTCATGGACCAGGTGGAAATGGATTAAGGTTTCCCAAAGAAAAGAGCAGAGGCTGTCATCGCCCACCCGGTTCCGAGCCCCAGCTCTCAGGGTTCCCTTCCCTGCCAGGCCAAGAGCATTCTCGGTCCTTCCAGAGCCCACGAACTAGGCTGTGTGTGTGACTTTTACACAAGAGAGGTCTAGAATCTGTGGGGCCTGGGTCACTCCCAGTCACTCCTAGATCCTGATGACAGCTAACCAGGCCCCGCCCTGGCCCTGCTTACCCCAGAGGCCTTCAGATGCGGGACTGCACCCTCGCTCTGTGCCTAGAGAGGCCATTGCCCTCAGCTGCCTCCCCCCGCCTGCCATGGGGGGTTTTGGGGGGCTTGTGGGGAGCCCAGGCAGAGCTTCAACCTCAGAAGAGCAATGTGGCAAGGAACTGCCAGGGTCATCTCCTCCACACAACTCTGGGACACTCCCTTTAAGAAAATGCTTTATTTCGATGCTGAGCTGAGCTTCGGGGTTAGGCTCTGGCCCTGCTCCCAGGAAGCAGGGTGAAGGGTATGGAAGGGAAGCCCTGTGGTGGGGCCTGGAGCGCAGGGTGCAGGGCCCAGCCCCTGGGCCGTTAGTAATCGTCGTAGTTGACGCTGGCCCCATGCCTGAAGCTGTCGGGGCTCCGGGGACCGATGGCTGCGTCCTCGTCATAGTGACGCTGGTAGAGGTCACCATAGTAGTCATGTCCGTCCCGGTCTCTGTTCAGCCAGTAGGTGATGTCATCTTCAAATTTCTGGAGGAAAAGAGACAGAAGGGAGATGCATGGAAAGATGCACGCGCTGCACCCGCCAAGTCCAGCTGGTGCCGCGTCCTCAGCCCTCACTGAGAAGAGCCCCCCTGCTGTGGAGGTCATGCACCCAGCTGAAGACCCAGCCCAGGGGTCCACCCCAGGGGTCAGGGCCTGGGCTGTGAGACCTCTCCCAACTCAAGACCCAAACACCCCTGATCAGAACAAAGCAGACACCACCCTGAGAATGGCGGCTCTGCCTGACTAGACACTGTCCTGTCTCACTGGGTACACAGCCTCCTGTCCGCTGCTGTGCCTACCCTGCCTGCCCCTTAGGGGCACAGTAGGTGCATGATAAATGTGGAATGGTCATAGCAGCAGCAGCAGCAGCAGCAGCAGCAGCAGCAGCAGCAGCACTGGCGTCTTAGAGAGATCTGGGGTCAGACTCGGGGGTGCTGGATGGCTTGTGCCTGGATGGTCCCCAGAGCCCCATGCAGTCATTGCTGGGACTTCTTCGGAGGCAGCTGGATCCAGAGAGAGGGGATGCAGTGGTGCAGTGCTGGGACTAAGGGCAGATGACGCCGGAGCAGTCCATCAGTTGGTGTGGCACCGCCCTAATCCTGGAGGCCTGGACACAGCGTAAGAGGCAGAGAGTGGCTTGTGTGGTCCCCTGCTTGGTGCTGCCTTCTGCCTGCCCTGAACTCGTTCTCTTCTGCGATGCCCCCTGCGCTGCAGCCAGCCAGCTGTGGACCCAAACCTCTGAAAAGTGTGAGCTGAAGGAGCCCTTCCCCCACAACTCTGGGTGTCGGGTATTTTGTCTCAGCAACAACAGAAAAGTAGCTGAGACAGAGGCCACTGGTGGGGACTGTCACCATGCTCCTGGGCAGGCAGCATCTCCCTGTGCAGGGTGCCGGGCGTGGTACAGAGTGGGGCAAGTCAGAGCCCAGCTCCAGGAGCCTTCGGGACAGTCGGGAAGGAAGACGGCCAGCCCTCAGGAAGACAGCTAACGCAGCAATGGGAGGAGCGGCCAGAGGCGAGTGGGACAGCCATGAGGAGGGATGGTCAGGGCCTGGCTGGTCCTACTTCTTGTTTTGTTGAGACGGGGTCTTGCTACCCAGTTCAGGCTGGCCTTGCACTCACAGGGATCCTCCTGCCTCAGGTTCCCAAGTGCTCAGAGACAGGAACGTGGCATCCTCACCACTCTTTTCTTTACTCTTCTTTCTCAGTAGTGTTACAAAATAAACTGAGGGCTTCGTGCGTTCTAAGGACACGCTGTGCCACTGACTCCGCTCCTGAGGTCTTCTGCATGGGCGTGCGGCCTCCAACTCTGTTTAAAGGTGCCAGTGAGCTCGGCTTAAGCTTCCTCAGGGACCTGGGAGTGTCCCTACTTAGGTGAGGCCAAGGCAGGCAGTGTGGGTGCACAGGGAACCCCCACCCGGGGCCCAGGAGGCCTAGCAGCACCTCCAGGTAGATTATCCAGCGGGTGAGTCTCCAGAATCTGCTTCACTCAGAGGGGCGGCCCGGGAAGAGCCAGGCGGCTCTGCCTCACACCCCTTGACCCAGTTTCTGGCTCAGGACAGCAGAAGCCGCCTGCGTCCCAGCTCGGAGTCGCTTCCCAGGCCAAGCTGTGCGGTGTGCTGGTGGTCATGACCCTGCACCCTCAGAAGGACCCGGGCCTTGCGGCCCCTGGATCTACCGTCTGGCTTTGCTCATAGAATCCCTTTTTAAGATAGTGAAATCATCTTATTCCTTGAGATTTCTGACTGCATAAATTCATTTGGCTTAGAACACATTTCAATAAGTTTCTCAGAAACTGGGCATGATGGTGCACACCTGACGTCCAGTATTCTAGAAGGCTGAGGCAGGAGCGCCGCAAGTTCCAGTCCAGCCTGTCAACTTAGCAATTCAGTGAGACCCTGCCTCAAAAAGTGAAGATAAAAAGGGGTGGCGGAACTAAGGATTTAGCTCAGAGCAAACGCTCTGGGCTCCACCCTCAGTGTCAAAGAGGAAGAAGAAAGAAGGATTTACACAGACTGGCAGATGAGGACCCGAAAACGGCAGCTCGCACGTGCGGGGCCACTTGCATGCGCGCGCCGCATCTGCGCGACACCTCCGGTGCCATCCCAGCCTTCTGTGCCTGGTCTGTCTCTGGTTTTTTGGAGGGCAATACTATAGCCGTTTCCCACACCCGACCCTAAGTGTCCATTTCAATGGCCACGAAGACGCATGAGTCACTGAGAGTTGGTGGGGCGCCCGCGTCTCCCAGTAAGCATGGTTTAAATATCTCAGCCGTGAGGAGCGCTGCGAGGAGCGGAACGCGGCATGCGCCCCACCGCCTGCTGGACCCGAGGACAGAACCGGCTCTGCACCCCCTCTGCCCGGGCAGGGCACAGAGCCTGGGGCACCGCCGACACAAGCACAGGGCGCCTGTCCTAGGGCTGTAAGCATGATCCGGGCCCGTGAGGACTCTGCGAGGCCGGCAGGAGCTTGGCTGTTAGTATTCATCTTTTCACTTAATGAAAGAAAAAACGAATGTGAGTAGCGTAAGACAAGTGGGGAGGCCCCGGCCCAGGCGGGCCGGGAAGGGACGGTGGCGCAGCGCCAGCACTGTGTTCGTGCAGCCGTCCCGGTGCCAGCACTGCAGCCTTCCCGCCCCTTCCACAGATCGGGGCCCACAGTGCCCACACCCTGCGTCTGGTCTTCTGCCTCGTGGCCTGAGCCTGTGCCGCCCCCAGCTGGGGTGCGGGATGAGGGCCCTGCTGCCTGCCTTTGCGGGGTCACGCATTCCTGCTATCCAGACCCGCAGGCTGCAAGCCACCGGCCCTCCTCAGGCACCAGCAGCTGCCCCACCTCTGCACAGAGCCGGCCCACTTTATAAACACGTCGCTCCTCTCACCCCTGTCCTCTACTGTCCCTTGTTGTTCATGTTTCTGATGCAAAGCGGACCCCATTGTTTTTTGGGGGGAGGTCAATCATTTGGAGGAAGCCCAAGCAACGCACACAGCGTGGCTGGAATTGCTTGCGGGGAATGAGACTGTCACAGCATCGCTGCTGGGCCGAGGGGGGAGAAATCCAGCTGTGCCCAGCCCAGTGGGTGCCACTGTCCCTGGTGAGGTTGCTGAGTGAGGACAGGTGCTGGGCGTCTGCACCCTGGGCCTGGCTCCTGAAAACCGTGTGGCCAGCGAAGACAGCGGGACCTCTAGGATCCAGAGGCAATGCAAGGCTTGAGCCCCAAGGCTGAGGCTCTCCCCCAGGCCTCTGGAGGGGGCAGGCAGAGCAGCTGCAGGAGTCTTCCTGTCCCTCCACATGAGCCCTGTGCTTCTGGTGCACCACGAGCCATGAAACTCTCACTGGACCAGCGCACGCCATGCCTCCAGACTCGCGGGCTCTGTCAGTGATGAACAGCGCCACAGCAGCAGAGCCCCCAGCAACGCCTCACCGCTGTGACCCCCACTGCCCGCCACCCTGCCCCGTGAGGAACCTACCGCCTCATCGAAGCCCATGTACAGGAACTGCTGGTACCACTGTTGCACCTCGGGCCGTGTCCGGTCCCACAGCTGCCGCCGCTGGCGTCTAAGGCCACCCAGGAACTCCTTGGCCTTGTTCTCCCCCATGGCCACATTCGCCTGGGCTGGAGCAGGGGCTGCAACGACAACCCCACCCCGAAGGACAGGCAATGCTGGGGACCACTCCTCCGAGCACCTGCATCTGCACCTGCTGAAACCTCCCTGCACCCCCAGAATGACATTTCCTCTTGCCCTGAGCCTACCTCCCAGCCCTTCTTTTCAAACATCTTATTTTTATTTAGAACAGAGTCTCACTACATTGCCAGGCTAGGCTGGGGTCACAACTCTCCCACCTCAGCCCCCCAGAGGGCTGGGATGACAAGGTGCCCCCACACTGGTCAGCGCACCGTGCACCCCCTGCGCTGTACATGCAGAAGCAGAGGCAGATGTGGACCGCAGCTGGTGCACCTGGCGTGCGTTCCTGAAGCAGGAGACAAGCACACAGGGCCCCAGCCTCCAGGC